TTTAAACACAATGGTGGTGGTGTTCCTGGCATGGAAAACAGAGGGCAAAAGCGCTGATGTTTCCCTCTGCCCTCGCACTGCTTTCCCTGCCTGCCACCAGCCTGCCATGTTTCCACAGAGCCTCTCCAGCCTAGGAGTGGGAACCATTTCCTCTGAGGCTGTTGATCTGGCACAGGGACTACCCAGTGTGTTTTGCCTCAGATGATCTGCTGCAGTTGCCCACCTTCCTCACACACAGGGGAACCTCAACCCAGGCACTGGTATTGCTGCCACTCTAAGCCCATGAGGAAATATCCCCATTTTGTCCTGTCCACTTCTCTCCACCTCCATCATCCCACCATAACACGACCTTTACAGCTGCACCAAGCACACCCGAGCAGCACCAAAAGACACCAGAAATGTGATGCAGTTGCTGCCTAATGCAGCGGACAGCTGGCCAAGCAGGCTTGAGTGCCTGAGTGATACCCCACAGTACACCTGGCACACCTGGCTCCTCCCTCATCACGCGTCGCACACGACACGACTGACTGCCCTTGGCTTTGTGCAGCCACTCCTGGTGGTGACCTTGTCCCAGTCACCATCAGTGCAGCCACTTTCATCTGCTTTCTCATCATCTTTGAGGACGATGAAGATGAAGCCATGGTCACCGCTACTTCTCACTCCCAGTGCAAGATGGAAACACCCTGCCTGCATGACAGGTCCGCCCGAGATAAGTGTCACTAGGCAGGGCAAAAGAATTAGCTGACAGAGTGGAGGTGTTGTAAGCAGCTCCCTTCCCAGAAAGTGAGGAAGCAAGATTCTGAATAAAGGTTAAACTGAGCAAGGGTTTGCACATGCCCTGTCTCACTGGGCTGCTCCCCTGCCTACACAGTCATAGAATCATAGTATTATCCAGGCTGAAGGAGACCTTCAGCATCATCCAGCCCAGGCATCCACCCAGCACTACCACTGTGCCCCAAAACCACTAAATCGTATCACCCAGTGCCAGACCCAGACATCTCTTAAACACCTCCAGGGATGGTGACTCCACCACCTTCCCAGGAATCTATTCCGAAGCCTGACCACCCTAACAGTGATAAAAATGTGTCTGATATCTAATCCGGCTCTCCCCTGTGCCGGGTTAAGGCGGAGAACCCACCGTTCTGCACCAGCTGTGCCAGCAGGTTGTCCTCCTGGATGGCGTAGGTGGCGAAGTTGCTGCCCACGTCGATGAAGGTG